TGAACGTTCAAGCCGTACATCTGGTAATGCCCCGAGAAAAATGCAGCAACGTCGGGTACTTCTCGGCTGCTTGGTGCTCTAATCTGGCAGAGCCAACCGTCCAGGCACCCCACACAGCCCGTCATGATACCATCCTTGCTGATCTTCGTGAACCCGGACGCGAGCTCTTCGATGCGGCTGCTGGACTCGGTCGGAGAATGAATTCGTAGCTCCTCACACTCACACAGCGCGTCCATTACAGCAGTGATCACATCGTAAAAGCCCGACGGAGACACGCCAGCCAGACAGCGCGTGGTGTGAAAGCTGCCCCCTGCCAGCCAGGAAATAGTCATTTGCAGCATGTTTTCGGGCGTGATCGGGTCCGTGCCCGTGCGCCGCTCGGACTGGATCTCGTCGCGCAGCAGCCCAGGTCTCACAAATGACAGCAGCCTGTCAAAAGATGCAGCGCTCATACGGTAGCACTGCTCGAACTGCCCCTCCAACAGAAGTGTCTGCCTGTGCAGCCCCCAGTTCAGCCGCCTGCGCGGCAAGCTGTCACTGGGAGTTCCCCTTACCGAGGCAATGGCCGCCACCGTTGCGACCACCTGTACTCGGCGGTGTTTGCGAGCTTGGTAGGCCTTCAGCATCCACAGAGGCACCTCGTACTCGTCCATCGCACCCGCTTTCGCGCTCGAAATACCCGACGATCCCGGTCGGATCTCGGCGCCCCGAGTGGGGGCGCCGGATCGCGAGAAGATTGCTAAACACGTCGACAGCCCCAGCCCGCGCCGTCTCGTTGACCAACGAGAGGGCGGTATTCGCGACCCGACCCGATCCGATCCCGGTTCGGAACGGCCCTTAGTTTCCGCCATTGTTACCGTCGTCGGGGTTGCCTCGCCCTCACCCTGAATCGGATCAACGTTCTGAGTTGCGTCCTGCACCTTCGTTAAGCCACTGGACGCTGCACCATCGCACTGCTCAGCGACGCCTGAGCCAACGTTCTGCGTCCAGTAGTGCTGCTACGAGCCCTTCTCGTTGAACGCGTACACAGAGCCACACATGGTGTAGTCACCCATAGCGTTTTCCAGGTGCTCGGGCGAGTAGATCCACGCCACCACCACGGCGTTCACGTCCTCCTGGCCGGCAGCAGCGGTGAATTTCTCTATCATTGCCAAGATGTCCGAGCTCCGCAGATAGCACTGAGCGCTCATGGGTCCGACTTGAAGTCGTTCAGCACATTCTGCACCTCCAGCTCGCAAGAAAAGAACACTACCTTCTCAGAGTACAGCGCGAACTGGATTACAACTTCGAGACTACCAACCGCGAGATGAAGGACGAGGACGGTGAGCTCCACAACATTATGCTTTTTGGTGCTGAAGGCGATCAGAACCGCTACCCGATGCGGGCCACAGGCTGGTTCTCGGGTGGGGGCTGCGGCGTTGAGACCGATCCGGATGTTGGCTCTTCACCCCACGGATGGTCGGCGTATCGGACCGTTGCGACTGATACACTAGCAGCATTTATACCGACAACAACGACAAGAACGTCCTCATCGGTTGGATGGGACGGTAGGCTGTCGGTACCGCGTGAGGTCGGAGTTGCCATCGTTCGTGACATCTACGACGTCGACCAGCACCTGGTTGGCAAGGGCGACTGGATCGTGTCCGACTCGAAGGACGTATTCTGTCCAATAAAGCTAGATCATCAAGTCGCTCGGGGTGAAGCCGCTGAGCAACCTGCAGCTGCTCCGCAACGAGAACTCGCTTGAGCATGTGGCCAGCGTGTCGGTGAACGGTTTGTCGCAGGTTCTGAACTCGACGGGCGCTTCGTTCGAACTGATCGCTGAGGTGGCGGACTTCGAGCGTGGCAACGAGGTGGGTTTCGAGGTGCACCGCAGCTCTACCGGCAACAAAGAAGCTACGATCGTGTACGGCGACGCGGAGAAGAAGGTGATCATTGACCGAACGAAGGGTTCAACTGCTGACTGCGCTGTTTTCGCTGATAACAACATGAAACCAATCTCGGAGTCGATTTGGGGCCACTTCTACCTGTACGACCTGTTTAACGGCGCTTCTCAGAGCGACGTGGGCGAGACCACCCGCGAAAAGTTGAGTTTCCACGTGTTCGTAGACGTGTCGAGCGTCGAGGTATTTGTGAACGACCGCTTCTCGCTGTCGGCTCGTATCTACCCATGCGCGACGCAGTCCAAGTCGGACGGCATTGCCCTGACGGCTTCAGGTGATGCCATATTCCGCGCAGGATGGCCTGGATCTCGGGGTCCGCCATGCCGCGACTCGCAAGCGCCTCGTTGGTCTCTCCGCTTGAATCTTGTACAAGACTTTCCGCAGGCACTCTCGGTGGTTTGGGTCAAGCGTCAGCCCCTTCTCGTAGCTCACGCGGGCTTTCTAGAACTCCTTCATCAAGCACTGGATGGTGCCCATGCACAACACCTTGACGTGAGCTCGATGACCTTATTACCGTCCTTCTTGGCCTCGTAGAACAACGTCAACTTCAAGAGGCGGCAGCGGCGTGATTGGTGTTTGCGGCCACATTCTCGGTCTCCAGTCGTAGCTGCCCTGTGTGATGCACTCCGAAATGATCGAACCGTCCGATCCGTCATGGCCATGCAGTTCTTGGCGGCCATGTCATCCGATGGGCGCTGGGCTGTGGTGTGCAGCTTCTTGTTGGGACACAAAGCTGGCAGACCTTTGATGGCGCGCTGCAATCGTGGCCGAGGCGTAGTTTTCGTAGGCCGCGTACGTCTCGAAGTTGATGGCGCTGGTGGTGCCGCCGGCGCCCGCCGAGATTCACGCAGAGAATCGGTCGCAGAGCGAGCGATCACCTATGGAGCACAAATTGGCACTCAGCAATGCACAAAATTTTACATAAAACCAAAGAACCACCAACAACCAGGTGGTGCAACCAAAACACCTGGAGTTTTGGTTGTTCTGGGTTTTGCAATCACTCGTTTTTCCAACACTGATTCATGGGTGACACGAATGGAACTCAAGGATACGCCCCCCAAAGCGGATGTGTACCCATTCAGGACGCAAAGTTACGATTGTACTTTTCCAATGGATTGTTCCACGTCGTAGCGTCATACCTTTCTATCCAAGTCTTCAAAAAAATACTTCCAGAATATATTCCACTTTGTCTTTGCTCCAGTTTCGTCGACAATACTGCGGACGAATCTAACACCCTTAAAATTGCAAAATCCAAAATATATTTACATCAAAAAGGTCGGATTCAAATTTTAAAGAGGTATGATCAAAATATAATAGTCCATACCCTTTTTTGCGATTTGGTTCACAGGGATGGTAGCAAGCGTGTCAAGTTTGCCAGGGCTGAACGCGCTCTTGAGTTGCGGTTTGGAGTGCGTAGATCGACCATATTACGACGTAGTCCCTGTTTCCAGTGAAACAGACACCCTACAAGGTTGGCACGGGGAAACTGCTCCAGAACTGCGTTAATAAACGCCACTTCGAAGTCACATGTGACGTTTTTAGGCTCCAACTGCCTGTTGCTCAAAATGATAAGCTCATTTAGCACCCGCCAGTACGCATCTTGCGACTTACCTTGAACTAATACGTAGTAAATGGGTACGTAGAGATTGACGGCAGGCTCAAACGCCATCACAATCAGGCATTGGCTGAAAGGTTTGGGTACCACCGAAATGGTGCCGTCTATTAAAAGGGTAATCTTTGGATACCGCAGTATCAGACCCAAATCAGGGTGCCCAAAACCGATCATGCGATGGATTCCGGTGGTCGCCTTTGTGGGGTACGCCACACTAATCTGTAGAAAGGACCTGGGGTCCTTGTCGCTTACACAGCGTACTGATTGAGAGAGTATGGCCTCGTATACATCACCACCCGTACACTCCTTGCGTGTCTGCTTTACTATAGCGACGGCAGGTGCGCATGGAATGATAGTGAAAAAGCTCTTGCCAGACAACTGGTGTGTGTGTGTTGGGGGGGGGGGGGGTACTGACGCTGCGTCGCTGTAGCTCTAGCGCTTGCCGTTTGGATGGCATTCAGACGAAAAAAACATTAAAATTTTAATGGGTTTTTTCAAATGCCATCTCAACCAATCAGATCTCTCGCAATATTTATTTCATTCCCATTTAATTTGTGTTGGCTGACTGAATTCACGTTTAGCCTCTTAAAATTGTTAGGCGATGAGGATATGACTATGGACTGACATGGTCAAACACCAAATCCTCGCATCCAATTGTTAAATATTATTAAATGCTCATGTGAACCTTACTACCCTAAATATTCAATACAACATCATACTAAACGAACCTGTGGTACCTAGTACGAACTTCGCCACAGCTGTTTTGTGCATTCAATAATCAAATTATAGTTGCTATAAGACACAATTGTGACGTGGAGAGTCCCAAAAGAGCTGGATTTGAAATTCAGGTCTAGTCAGAAATATTGAATCTCACCACTGACCCGGTCATTTAGCACAAACGCACAAATCCTGAAGCAAGTGCATTAGTCTCCACGTTGCCGTGCATTGTGTATTCACTCAACAGTCGACTTTGTAAATGCTTTTTGTATGTTGCCCAACCCTAAAGATACGCTACCAGCACGAAAGTCTCCAATTGCGACATCTCTTTAATCGCTAGAGCCTTATCTCGCAACGTCGCGGTACCAGCTTAATCGATTATTGCGCAAAAGGCTCTTCTCACTGGCATCTTCCAGACCAACATCGAATGAAGTGACCATACCCGTGTGTATTTACCGAGATAAAGGTTTGCTGGGCGTTGGTAACAACGTAGCTGGTGCTGATCGCAATCGCAGCGAGGGAGCCAAAAGCAACACGCATGATACAGGCGTGTAGTCAATTCCGTTGTAATGCAAAGCAAAAGTGAGATTCATGTTTAACTACACTGCCACTCTTGCCAAACCTCGATCACTCCTGTCCAGTGCTTGTCTGCGAATGCGCATTCGCGTCTCCGACGGTCGCAAACACTTGGTAAGTCCGGTCAGGCGCAACTGCAACAGGGCGGCAGCAAAGCTCTGGAGTGATCCTGGATCTGCTAAGGGCCAACCAAGAGCTGCAGCGTCGCCGACCGTAGTAGCGGTGCAACTGTCACCGCTGCCCCCCAGCTAACCACGCTTCTTCGACTTGCGTTGGGTTAGAACACCAATAAGGGCGGTCTTCAGAGCAGCACAGCCACTGCTACCGACGTACTTGTTCAACATGACAGGTACTTCCGCTGCTATTGCGCCCTGTGACCCCCACGAGTCCTCTTCGTCCTGTAGTCCGACCCAAGCCACCAGGAGTTGCCATTCCTTGCGCGGCGATGCAATCCGGTGATCCTTGAACTGTTTAATCTCTAGCACCATGCCTTGATTACCGACATGCGCGACGAGCTCCTCGCTGACGTTCAGGCTGGAGTCAGCATAAAACTTGAGTTGGGATTCGTGAACATTGTAGATCTTGTTGGTGACCAGGTCGCGCACCATGAAGGAGTGCGGCAACGCCTCGGTCACCTCGAACGGCCCCACCCAGCGCACAAGTAGCTTGTCATTGGCCAGGCGGCTATCGATCCTGGACCACAATGCAAAGTCGCCTTCGGCGAAGTTGCAGGGCGTCCCAGTCGCCCTGTCCTTATTGCGACGATGGCGCTCATCCTTCGCCTGTAGCACATCCTGGTGCATCCCATGAAGGGCATCCTGGAGGTCTTCGACGTTGGCTTGGTGTCCGGCCACGTCGATGACCAGGTCCTGCTTGGTTCGCGACACCACAATTGCCGTTAGTGGATTGGGAATTGGCAGAAGTGTGAACAGCTCGCTTGGGGCACGGTTGTTCAGGCTTGCGACGGGCGTATGGTTCAGGTTCGCTTGAACCAATGGCAAAAGATACACCCCATTCCCGTGCGTCTAGTTGAATCAGCATCACGCGCATCACCTGCAAGATGTCGCGATTAATGCGCTCCATGGAGCCATTGATCCACGGTGAGTTGGGCGTAACGAGGTGCTGCTCAGTCGATAGGCGCGTGCAGAGGTCATTCACAACGAGATTCTTGAAGTGGGCACCCTTGTCGGACATTAGGATCTCCGGCGCACCAAATCGCTTGCACCAGTCCAATGGTGCTTGCACGGCCACGCAGCTTGTCGGTGAGTCGCACGTAATCAACCCGCAGTAGTGAGTCCTTGAGCATCAGAACGTACCTGGTCGTCCCCATGCTGTCGCCCATGTAGAGAAAGTCGTAGTGCAGGAACTCGTTCCTACGCGTAGCCTGGTAGGTCGGACCCCACGTGATGTTGCCGCCCTTGGTGTGCTTATACAACAGACAACGGCTCAGGAACAGACGACACATCTTCGTCAGATCTCGAAAGTAGAAAACTTGCTGGATCTTGCGTGTCATTGACTCCAGTCCACGATGTCCTTGGTTTCCACAGTGGGCAATGATCATGACTCGCCGCACCAGATCCTTGGCTCCATCAGGCAGCCACAACTTCTCCTTCACCTCCAATGCGCTGCTGCCGTTCAACTCGGCCTCCACAGGTTTCTTGCGTTGGTGTTCCTTTTGCGCACGCACAATTTCATCCAGCGAAGGGAATACAAAGTCGTCGAAGCGGGGACGAAGCTGGTATTCAGTGTCACCCAGAGAACTGGCATTTCCTCGGGCGCTGCTTCACGTGACGGTCTTGCACCGGACGACAGCCCTTCCATCCCCAGAAGGAGAGCACCAGCAGTGGGACAGCAGGCCCAGCCACGCATTCTGCTCGCCGTCCAGGTGCTCAATCACGTAAGGTAGACCAGCGAGAGCAAGTGCCCACCGCTGCAGTCGCCCTCGGATATAGCGTCAGATTTTTGTGGTCGCAAAAGAGGCGGAACCCCAGACGGCGGAGAAGTAGGTAGTCCAAGTGCATACAGGCCCATATGATAGGGAAGGCCTCCTTGTCGATGACGCTCCAGTTCTTGGACGCTCCCGAAACGATACCACTCTTGCAGACCAAAAGCTGGTGTGGTTGCTCCCACGGCGCCAGGTCGGCATCCCAATCAACCACCTGCGTCACGATCAAACCCCAGCCAGTTTATGAGGCATCAGTAAAGATACAAATTTCGGTGTCGTTGCTAGGGAAAGCCAGAGGCTGTGAATTGACGATCATCGCCTTCATATCTTCGAATGCAATGCGCTCGGCATCACTCCACTCTAGCGTGACACCGGCTGCCAGACGCCGAGTACGACCCGCGGTCGAGAGTACACCCTCTAGCTTGTCATGGAGCGGCTTGGCCACACGCCCGTCGTCAATGAGAGAATCACGTGACCATCCTGCCGCACACATGAACAGCTGTAGATCAGCTCCAGTCACAGGAAGGGGCAGCGCTGCGAGCGCCTCCAGCCGCGTCGGGTCATGTGCAATCTCATCACCGCTGATGATGCAACCACATCACTTGGCCTGCTTCTTGAACAGATAGCTTTTGACAGCGCTGAGGCGCAGGCCGTACGAGCGAACGCGAGCGAAGAAACGGTCAAGCGTGTCCAGTAGAGCCCGGGCCGACGTGGCATGTAGCAGAATATCATCAATCCAGAGAAGAAGACTAGTGTAAAGCCTGTCAACGAAGATCTTCTGCATCTGGTTTTGAAAATGAACTGACGAGTCCATGCCACCTTGAGGCACACGCGTCGGCGTGTACACCGTGTCCTCCGATATGAAACTCATGAGTTCCTGGCTAGACTCATCGAGCGGAAATTGGAAGAAAAAAACTTGGGTAAGTCGAAGGCTGAGAATCCGTACGCTCCTGAAATCGCGTGCGTGATGGTGTCCATGTTGGGTGCCGCTCCAGCCAGAAGGAAAGTCTGTTGGTTGACAGGCCGATAGTCGACCGTCATGCGAAACTCCATAGGCTTTCCTGGCTTGGCTAGG